TAACCATTTTTATTTTTTGTTTTATATAACAGTTTGATTTTGGCTGTAATCTTTTATTTTATGTTTTTTGACACATGGTAAAATTTTTGTCTTGCGGGATATCAATTATCTAAATGGTGAGTCGCGTCTCCAGTGCTTGAGTTTTTAATATATAATTTATGTTAGTGAGAGAAATACATTGTTTTAATTGGCTAATGGCGTGCCAGCTGCCGCGGTTACACGGATGATTAATATAAAAGTTTTTGGTAAAAATTAGGATTATGTAATTTTTTGGTGTATTTATTAATTCATAATATGTAAAATTTGTATTGTTTTTTATTAACCCCAATTGAGAGGAGCAGCTATCTTGAAAATTTAGATATAAACCAGGATTAGATACCCTGTTATTCTATTTTATAAATTTTTATACCCGAGTAGTATTAATTTTTGTTTGAAACTTAAAAAATTTGGCGGTATTTTATTCTCCCCAGAGGAGCCTGTTCTGTAATTGATGATCCACGTTACATCTTTCCTCAATTTGTTTTTCACTTTGTATACCGCTGTCGTCAGCATATTTTTATAGAATTTAATCATATGCTTAGTAATTTTTGTTACTACGTCAAGTCAAGGTGCAGGTTATGTTGAGGTAGAAATGGGCTACATTCTTTTGTTGGATACGAATGATAAGTTGAAATTTTATCTGAAGGTGGATTTGGGAGTAAGTTTATATTAGTGTGTTTTGTTGAAATTAGATCTAAAATATGTACACATCGCCCGTCGCTCTCGTCAGCAAGATGAGAAAAGTCGTAACAAAGTAGGTGTATCGGAAGATGCTCCTAGGAACTACTTATAGCTTATTTAAAGCAATTCACTTACATTGAATTGAAGTTATTTTTAACTGAGTTGAAAAACTTGACTTATTATTAATTTGTTTTGTCTTATTTAATTTTTAATATATTATTTTATTTTTTTTTATGTAATTTTTAATGATTGAATGTTTTTTATTATAGTTTAAAAGTACTTTAGAGGAAAGTTTTTATTTATGAAGGTAATTGTTAGTATCTTCCTTTTGCATCATGAGTTAGTAAAAATAGGGGCTATTTTAGTTTTTCCCGAATAATATTGAGTTAATTTTATACTGTTTTTTATTGTGGCAACAATATGATAAATTTAAAATTAGGGGTGAAATGCCAGTCGAATTATTAATTATCTGGTAATCTTATTATGACTTTAGGTCTATATTAAAAATTTATGAAATTAATTTTTATTTTTGATTTGTCAACTTTTAAGGATAAGCTTATTGGTTCTGTATAAAAGTACGATTTATGGTTAGAGATGTTGTTAAAATTGGGTAGAATTTAAAGTTTTTTCCAATAATGTGTTTTATAACTTATTTAAACTTATTATTTGATTTATTTTATGCTCTGAGACTTAATTTAATAATGATTATTTAGTTAAACGTTTTCTAAGGAAATTATTTTAATATTAGTAGATAAAATTAATATTACAGAGTTATTTTTTATATTTTAACTTAAAGATATTTTATTTGGATAGTGATGAGGTAAAGGAACTCGGCAAAAATGAACTTCGGTTGTTTAACAAAAACATGGCTAGCAGAAAATATTTTTAGTCGTGCCTGCCCGGTGAGTATTTAAACGGCCGCGGTATTTTGACCGTGCAAAGGTAGCATAATCATTTGCCTTTTAATTGGGGGCTGGAATGAAAGGTCTAACGAAGGTTCAGCTGTCTCTRCCTTATATATTAAATTTACATTTTAGGTGAAGATGCCTAATTATTAATGAAAGACGAGAAGACCCTATAGAGCTTGAATTAAACTTTTTTTTRTTAGTTTCTATTTATTAGGTTAAATAATATTGATTAAGTTAATTTTTGTTGGGGTGACATTTAAATTTTATTTGGTTTTAAAACACGATAAAAATACTTTTTAATCTATAATAATTTATTTAAAATGATCCAATAATATTGATCTTAGGACTAAGTTACCTTAGGGTTAACAGCATAATCTCTTTTGAGAGTTCTTATCGACGAAGAGGATTGTGACCTCGATGTTGGATTAGGATGACTATTAGGTGCAGCAGCTTAATAGAGTTAGTCTGTTCGACTATTAAATTCCTACATGATCTGAGTTCAGACCGACGTGAGTCAGGTTAGTTTCTATCTTCTTTAATTAATAAATATATCTTAATAGTACGAGAGGATTTTAGGGTGAAAATGATTTTAAAATTGTGAAAGAAACTAATTATAAAACTAAGTTGGCAGATAAGTGCAATGAATTTAGAATTCACATATGTGGTTAAATGCCACATTTAGTATTAATATGGCAGATAAGTGCAATGAATTTAAGCTTCATTTATAGGGGTGGAAGCCCCCTTTTTAATAATGTTTATGTTAGTTAATTATATTATTTTGACAATTTGTGTTCTTATTGCTGTAGCTTTTTTTACTTTACTTGAACGAAAGGTCTTAGGTTATGCACAATTACGAAAAGGGCCTAATAAAGTTGGTTTTATGGGTATCCCCCAACCTCTAGCTGATGCTGTTAAACTTTTTATTAAAGAACTAACTTTACCTGTTGAAGCTAATTTATACGCATATTTTTTTGCTCCCGTTTTTAGTCTTTTTATATCTTTACTAATATGAATTATTTTTCCATTAGAATCTTTTGTTTTAAGTTTTGGGCTTGGATTAGTGTTTTTTCTTTGTTGCACTAGAGTCAGCGTTTATGGAACTTTAGTAGCAGGGTGGGCCTCTAACTCTAAATATGCTCTCTTAGGGGCCCTTCGGGCTGTTGCTCAAACAGTTTCTTATGAAGTAAGTTTAGCTCTGGTTCTTTTAGGGGTAATTTTATTAACTTTCACTTTTTCTTGCCTAGGACAAGGAGCTTTTCAATTTTTTACGTGGCATTTCTTAATTTTAGGTCCATTAGGGTTGATTTGGTTTGTTTCTTGTTTGGCTGAAACCAATCGTGCTCCTTTTGATTTTGCTGAAGGAGAATCCGAATTAGTTTCTGGATTTAATGTTGAATATAGAGGCGGGGGATTTGCTCTTATTTTTATGGCGGAATATGGAAGAATCATTTTTATGAGATTTCTTATGTGTTTATTATTTTTAGGGGGAATGGTTGACATAGTTTTTTATGGTTTTATTTTTATTTTAAAACTTGGTTTAATTTGTTTTTTATTTTTATGAGTTCGTGGGGCTTATCCTCGTTTTCGTTATGATCAATTAATGTATTTAGCATGAAAGGTTTACTTACCTGTTGTATTAAACTACTTCATTTTAGTAATCTGTTTTGTGACCTTGTTTTTAAAATAAGTTTTTGGATTAATTATGGTTAAAGATTTTTGAGTGATTTGAACACTCATTTGATGCTTTCAAAACATTTGCTTCCCAGTCAGCCAAAAAATCTTATTCCATAACATAATCTCATAGTACACTTAAAAGTGGTGATAGAATAAAGTAAAAAAAATATAATGATGTTAAAATTTGTGCTGATGTATAAAAAGGCTCTTCAATAGCTTGGGCCCCAATTCATGTAAGTAAAATGAAAATGCTAATAAAACCTCAAAACAGTATTTGGTTTAAAGGATAAAATCTAGATGATATAAACTTGTTTTTATACAGTGGTAGAATAATTAAAATTACAACAGATGCTAGAAGAGCAACAACCCCACCTAATTTATTAGGGATGGATCGAAGAATTGCATATGCAAATAAAAAATATCATTCGGGTTGGATGTGAGTGGGAGTCACCAAAGGATTGGCTGGAATGAAATTGTCTGGGTCTCTAAGTAAATATGGGCCTCTTAAAACAAGAATTATTAATAACCACACTATTACTACTACTCCAAATAAGTCCTTAATAGTAAAATAAGGGTGGAACGGAATTTTTTCAGCATTTCTATTTAATCCTAGAGGATTGTTAGAACCTGTTTGATGTAAAAATAAAAGATGAATAGCAACTATAGCCAGAACCACAAAAGGTAGAATAAAATGGAGCGTAAAAAATCGAGTTAATGTAGCATTGTCAACTGAAAATCCCCCTCATAGTCACTGTACTATTATAGACCCTACATATGGCACTGCAGAAATTAAATTAGTGATTACTGTTGCTCCTCAGAATGATATTTGGCCTCAAGGTAAAACATATCCTAAAAAAGCAGTCGCTATAACTAGAATAAGTAAAACTACACCTGTTATTCATGTAAAATAGAGATGAAACGAGCTATAGTAAATTCCTCGAGCAATATGAATATAAAGACAAATAAAAAATATTGAGCCCCCATTTGCGTGAAGAACACGTAATAATCACCCAAAATTTACATCTCGACAGATGTGAGATACAGAAGAAAAAGCTAAATCAATATGAGGAATATAATGTATAGATAAAAATAATCCAGTAAAGATTTGAATTGAAAGACATATCCCTAAAAGGAAACCAAAATTCCATCAGGCGGAAATATTGATTGGAGCGGGTAGATCAATTAATGCGGTATTTATGATTTTAATTACTGGGTGGGTTTTGCGAATGGGGTGTGTCATACTTTCATTGTCGGAGAGGCCCAAATCCTAGCTGAGAGATTTTTACAACTGCTATTAATGTAATTAATAAATATGTCATAATAAGAATCACAAAAATGACTCTATTTAATGAATAAGTTAGAGTAGAAATTAAATTTCTGTTAAATTGACATTTAAATTCTGAATTCACTGAATCTATTGACATTTCATTGTTTATACTAACTAAAATTATGATAAGTAGTCTTGATAGAAAGGGTGTTAATAAAAATTTTAAATTAAATGTTTCATTTGAGGCTAATCTTGAAATATATAAAAAGAGAATCAGGAGACCCCCTAAAAAAACTAAGAATAGAACATATGAAAACCAAAAAGAAAATTGAAGTGTCCCTAATAAAATGCATGATAAACATGTATTGATTATAATAATTAAAACTATTAATAAAGGATGTGTACAAAATGAAAAATAAAAAATAAAAAGAAACATTAGAATAAGAAGAAGTTTTGTCATTTCAAGGAGTAGTTTTAATTAAAATATAAACTTTGGGAGTTTAAGAAAAGAGTTTTTCTTTTCCTTGAGTCATCAGCAAAAGTTTGCAGTTTTAGTTTACAAGACTAGTGTTTTAAATAAACTATGAAGACTATGACGTTTCTTTCAAATTTTTTAATAAAAACAGAACTAGAGTTATTTTTTTTGTTAAGAAGAGCAATAAGAGTGTTAGGATTGCTTGTCTTTAGAAGAAACCGTAAACACCTTCTAGCTGTATTATTGAGAGTAGAGTTTATTATACTTTCCTTATTTTGATTTATTAGTTTAATATTAATAGATTTTTTTTCTGTGGGTTTTATCAGCTTAATCTTTCTTACATTTGTTGTTTGTGAGGCTAGTTTAGGATTAGCTCTTTTAGTTTGTTTAATTCGATCCCATGGGGTAGATTTTTTTGATACTATAAATATTTTAAAATGTTAATTATAATAAGAATTTTCGTAAGTATAACACCATTAACTTTTATTAGTTGGAGCTTAACTCATATGTGACTTTATTTTTGTTTTTTAATTAGTTTAATATTAATTTATACTGGATGAAACCAGTGAGATATGTTTAATTTTTTCCTAGGGGGTGATTTAATATCATTTATTTTAATTTCCTTAACTATTTGAATTTCTATTTTAATAATTTCTGCAAGAAGCAAAATTAAGTTTAAGACTAATTGATCATTTTTTCTTTTAATGAATTTACTTTTATGTCTAATTTTGAGTGTCACATTTTTAATGAGAGACTTAATTACGTTTTATATTTCTTTTGAAACTGCGTTAATCCCTATTTTTCTTATTGTAATAGGGTGAGGGTACCAGCCAGAACGACTTCAAGCCGGTTTGTATCTACTATTTTATACCCTTTTTGCTTCTTTACCCCTTCTTATTTGTATTTTATATATAAATTTTTCTTTAAAAATAAGAAGAACCGTTTTGTTATTTTATAATCTCTCAATTAATTTTTATAGAACATTTGAAACAATTGTGTTATTTGTTGGCTTTACATTAGCATTTTTGGTAAAATTACCTTTATTTTCTGTTCATTTATGGTTACCTAAAGCACATGTAGAGGCCCCAGTTGCTGGATCAATAATTTTAGCTGGTGTTCTATTAAAATTAGGAGGGTACGGGTTGTTACGGTCTTTGGTGTTATTCAAGTCCTTTCATTTTGGCGCTTACATTTTAATAAGAACTTGTTTATTTGGGGGTGTTATAGTTGGGTTAATTTGTCTCCGACAGACAGATACAAAAGCTTTAATTGCTTATTCTTCTATCGCTCATATAGGATTAGTTTTAGGGGGAATGTTAACTTTTTTTATTTGAGGGATAAGAGGGGCTTTAATTTTAATAATTGCACATGGTTTATGCTCGTCTGCTTTATTTTGTTTGGCAAACATTAATTATGAACGAAACCACACACGTTCGTTATTCCTCTCAGGGGGGTCTTTATGAACTCTTCCTTCTTTCTCTTTATGATGATTTCTTTTTGTTGCAGGAAACATAGCAGCACCCCCTTCTATGAATCTTGTGGGGGAAATTAGAATTATTAATAGTTTAGTTTCTTGGGCCTTTTGTCTATGGGTTTTAATTTTTAGTTGCTCCTTTTTAGCTGCCGCTTATAGAATTTATTTATATGTAGGAACACAACACGGGCACATTATAACAGCGTTTAAAATATTAAGATGTAGTTTTAACCGGGAACTTTTAATTTTATTTTTACATTGAATGCCACTAAATTTTTTTATTTTCCGTGTAGACTATCTATTTTGTTGAATATATTTAAGTAGTTTAACTAAAATTTCGATTTGTGGTTTCGAAGATACAATATGTTTGTCTTAAATTATGTCTTATAAAGTTAATTTTTTCCTAAGAGCTTCTTTTTCACTTTTTATATTATCATTTTTTATTCTGATAAACACGTTAAGTGTTTTCTATTCCGGTGAAAACTATTTTTTGGAGTGAGAGATCATTGAACTTAATTCTGCCACTGCATCATTTGTTCTAATTTTTGATTGAGTTTCGCTTCTTTTTTTAGGTTTAGTAATTTTAATTTCTGCAGCAGTTTTAATATTCAGAAATTTTTATATAGATGACGATATTTATCCGGCACGATTTGTTTATTTAGTGCTTCTTTTCGTTTTTTCTATGAGAATAGTGATTTTAAGCCCCAATATTATTAGCATCCTATTAGGATGAGATGGGTTAGGATTAGTATCATTTCTATTAGTGATTTATTACCAAAACTTTAAATCCATGAATGCTGGGGTTATTACAATCTTATCAAACCGTGTAGGGGACGTAGCAATTTTAATTTCAATTGGGCTTTTGTTTAGAACCGGAAGATGAAACCTCTTATTCTTAAGCTTTTATCTTTACAACCCCTTATTTATTTTTTCTCTTTTCTGTTTTACTTTAGCAGGATTAACGAAAAGAGCCCAAATACCCTTTTCAGCATGATTGCCAGCAGCTATAGCTGCCCCGACCCCTGTTTCTGCTCTAGTACACTCTTCAACTCTAGTAGCAGCGGGGGTTTACCTTTTAATTCGTCTTAATTATTTGATTAGAGAAATCTGATGATTAAGTTCTATTTTATTATTTATTTCTAGTATAACAATATTTATAGCTGGAATTTGTGCCAATTACGAAACAGACCTTAAAAAAATTATTGCATTATCAACTCTTAGCCAGTTAGGATTAATAATATCTGCTATTGCCCTCGGATTTACTATATTTGCATATTTTCACTTATTAACACACGCTCTATTTAAGGCATTATTATTTATATGTGCTGGGGCATTAATTCATAATGGGGGAGGGTCTCAAGATATTCGGTTTATAGGGGCTAGTGTTGTTCAGATGCCTCTAGTTAGAGTATGTTTAAATTATTCTAACTTAGCTTTAGCAGGAGTTCCCTTTTTAGCTGGGTTTTATTCTAAGGATTTGATTTTAGAAACAAGATGAATTTCAAATAGAAATATTTTTGGTATTTTTTTATTATACGGGGCTACATTAATAACTATCATATACTCTTTCCGTTTAAGTTTTTATTCACTATGAAGATGAAATCAGTCTGAACCCCTTTCCTTGATTGGTAACGAAACTAAATTTATAGTTATCCCTATAATAGTTTTATCTCTAGGTTCACTTTTAGGTGGGACACTCCTAATTTATGTATTTTTTATAGATATTCAAATTGTTTTTATTAATTTTTATCAAAAAATACTAATTATTATAATTTTAATTTTAGGGGGTTGAATAGGATTTACTCTCAATTGTTCAACTAGTGAACACATGAAAAGAAAATCTTTGAGTTTTTTTCCTAGCTCTTTTTTTTTATCTTCAATATGATTTTTTCCCTCATTGACAGGAATCACATCAAGGAACCCTCTTAAAACGGGTAGTTTAATTTTTAAAACTTTAGATTTAGGGTGGTTTGAATTAATTGGAGCCCAAGGGCTAAAAACGCTTACAACTAAAATTAATATGATTTCACAAATTATATTACTTAATAGTATTAAAACTTATTTCTTTCTTTTAATAATAATAATTATATTATTACTTATTATGACATTTTATTAAAGTAGCTTATAAAATAGAGCATAACATTGAAGCTGTTAGGGAAATAGATGATATTCTTTAATACTCTTAATAATTAATATTATATCTTTAAATTGAAAACTTAACGTGTTTTACACCATAAGAGCTAGAAAAATAACGGAGTTAAACCGCTAAGACTAAAAGTTAGCAGCTTTTGTCTATCCTTTTTTCTTTATATTATGCCTGAAAAAGGGCTACTTTGATAGAGTAGAATATGAGGGTCAGCCCCTCTAATATTATAAGTAATATTTTATATTTCTAAAGAAATCAAAGTTCTTTGTGCTATTACACTAACTTATAGATAAGGTAAGCTAATTAAGCTATTGGGTTCATACCTCAATTATAAAGGTTACAACCCTTTCTTTATTAATGTTTATTCTACCACACCATATTTTATTCTTATTTATTCTGTTATTTAGAATAACCATAGTTGCATGTTCTAACTCCTGATTTTCAATGTGATTAGGGCTAGAGATAAATATATTATCTTTTGTGACTTTGTTAATAACAAGAGTTAATATACGTGAGGCTGAATCTGGTATTAAATATTTTCTTGTTCAAGTATTAGGTTCTATTGGGTTTTTATTTGGGAGTCTAAGATTAGGTTGTTCTGGTTTCTTCTTCTCTTTTAACGAGTTCTTATGAACCTACTTAATTTTTTTTTCACTCTTATTAAAAATTGGTGTTGGACCTTTTCATTTTTGATTTCCTGGGGTAATAGAAGGGATTAATATAATTAATTGTGGAATATTAATAACATGACAAAAGTTAGGACCTTTTTGTATTTTGATTGATTTACAAAACTCAATTATAAAATCTGTTTTAGTAGTTTTCGCAATAATCTCTGGGTTAGTTGGAGGACTAGGTGGTCTCAATCAAACAAGCTTACGCAAACTTCTAGCCTATTCATCAATTGGGCACCTTGGTTGAATACTTGGAGCTATTTTTATTTCCAATACCATCTGAAAGACTTATTTTTTAACCTATAGTTTTTTAAGACTAAGATTGATTTTAATTTTATTTTTCATGGGATTTACTCATATTAATCAAGTATTTTCCTTTGGGTGAGAAAAAACAACTGATAGTTTAATAATTATAATAATATTTTTATCCCTGGGGGGTCTACCCCCATTTGGGGGGTTTTTAATAAAATGAGTTGTTTTTAATGGTTTAGTTAACAATGGGTTATTTCTTTTAAGAACCATTCTAATTTCAAGAAGTTTACTGAATCTTTTTTATTACCTGCGTGTTTGCTATTCATTAAGATTAATAGGAAGAGATGCACCTTTATGAGTATCAATAAACACAAGAACTAATATTTCCATTTGGGTAGTATTGTCAGGTGTAATTAGAATTATTATTCTGTTTAGCTCTTCTTTTATTTTAATATTAATATAAAATTTTAAGTTATAAAGACTATTAGCCTTCAAAGCTAAACGAGAGAAAGAAGTCTCAAATTTTAAGCTCTAGCAATAATGCATTTTTAGAATTGCAGTCTAATGTATTTTTTTTACTATAAAGCTCTGATAGAAAGAGATTTATTCTCTGTTGGAAGATCTACAGTCTTCTGCTTACTCTCAGCCATTCTACCGCGATGATTTTTTTCAACTAATCATAAGGACATTGGAACAATATATTTAATTTTTGGATTTTGATCTGCCATAGTTGGTTCAGGGTTAAGTTTAATTATTCGAGCTGAACTCGGGCAAGCAGGCTCCCTTCTAGGAGACGATCACCTATATAATGTGATTGTTACTGCCCACGCATTTGTAATGATTTTTTTTATAGTAATGCCTATTTTAATTGGGGGTTTTGGTAACTGAATGCTTCCATTAATATTAGGAGCACCAGACATAGCCTTTCCACGATTAAACAATTTAAGTTTCTGATTATTACCACCCTCATTAACGCTTCTTTTAGCCTCTTCTTTAGTAGAAGCAGGTGCCGGGACTGGTTGGACTGTTTACCCCCCTCTAGCTAGAAATATTGCTCACGCCGGTGGCTCTGTAGATTTAGCAATTTTTTCTTTACATTTAGCAGGTGCTTCTTCCATTTTAGGGGCAGTAAATTTTATTACAACAGTGATTAATATACGTACTGAGGGGATAGTTTTTGAGCGAATCCCGCTTTTTGTTTGAGCAGTCAAAATCACAGTTGTTTTACTTCTTCTTTCACTCCCAGTCCTTGCTGGGGCAATCACTATATTATTGACAGATCGAAATCTAAATACTTCTTTTTTTGATCCTGCAGGAGGAGGAGACCCTATTCTGTACCAACATCTTTTTTGATTTTTTGGTCACCCTGAAGTATATATTCTTATTTTACCAGGCTTTGGAATTGTCTCACATATTATCAACCATCAAAGAGGAAAAAAGGAAGCATTCGGTAACCTCGGTATAATTTATGCTATACTGGCTATTGGGGTTTTAGGATTTGTTGTATGGGCACACCATATATTCACAGTAGGTATAGACGTTGACACGCGTGCCTACTTCACTGCTGCCACAATAATTATTGCTGTACCAACAGGAATTAAAATTTTTAGCTGATTAGCAACCCTCCATGGAACACAACTACAGTTTGACCCTCCCCTTCTTTGAGCTTTAGGATTTGTATTCTTATTTACAATGGGGGGTTTAACAGGGGTTGTCTTAGCTAACTCTTCGATTGATATTATGTTACACGATACTTACTATGTAGTAGCTCACTTTCATTATGTCCTCTCTATGGGGGCTGTTTTTGCAATTATTGGAGGTCTTACTCTTTGATTACCTCTAATTTTAGGTGTCTCTTTACATGCTCGATGATTAAAAGTTCAATTCGTTATTATGTTTTTAGGAGTCAATTTAACATTCTTTCCTCAGCATTTTTTAGGATTAAGAGGAATACCCCGTCGTTACTCTGACTACCCAGATGCTTTTATTAAATGAAATGCTGTCTCATCAGTAGGGTCTATAATCTCTATTATTGCTGTATTGATATTAATTTTTATTATTTGAGAAGCTCTAATCTCTCAACGTAGTCTAGTGTTTGGATGCCAAAACACAACATCTGTTGAGTGACAACACGACTTCCCACCATCAGAACACACATATACAGAATTAGCAATTTTAACTAATTAATCAGATTAAAACCTGAATGGCCACATGAGGGCAACTTATATTTCAAGATAGCGCGTCTCCATTAATGGAACAACTAATTTTTTTTCATGATCACATTTTATTTGTATTAATTTTAATTACAGTAGTAGTAGGCTATTTTATAATTGCGATTATAACTAATTCTTACATTAATCGATTTATACTAGAAGGGCAGGAAATTGAAACGATTTGGACCATTATTCCAGCAATTATTTTGATTTTCGTTGCGCTTCCATCCCTTCGTCTTCTTTATTTATTAGACGAGGTAAACTCTCCTTCCATTACTATTAAAACAATCGGTCATCAGTGATATTGAAGATATGAATATTCGGATTTTAACGAATTAGAATTTGACTCTTTCATAATTCCATCAACTGACTTAGAAGAAGGTCAATTTCGACTATTAGATGTAGATAACCGCCTTATTATTCCTATGGAAAATAAAATTCGTGTATTGGTAACTGCTGCAGACGTTTTACATTCATGGGCTATCCCTTCTATAGGAATTAAAGTAGACGCAGTTCCTGGTCGACTAAACCAATTATCATTCTTCTCATCCCGACCCGGTGTATTTTACGGTCAATGTTCAGAAATTTGTGGTGCGAATCATAGCTTTATACCTATTGTATTAGAAGTAGTTGATACCCCTTCGTTTATCAAATGAGTTTCTGCTAACTAGTCACTAAGTGGCTGAGAATAAGCACTGGTCTCTTAAACCAACTTACGGTAAAATTACCCTTAGTGAAGAAAATTAGTTTAATAAAAACATAGACCCGTCTAGTCTAAATTGTCTATAGACATTTTTTTCATTCCTCAAATATCACCATTAATATGAAGTTTACTATACCCGTATAGTGTAATAGTTATGCTAATGTTTTCCGTCACAACCTATTTTAAATTTATTTTAATCACTAAATCATCTGATTTTTTTAACACACAAAAACTAAATTTTTTTTTACAATGATAAGTGGTTTGTTTTCTATTTTTGATCCATCAACAGGTTTTGGGTTATCTTTAAATTGAATTGCTTTACTCATTGGTTTATGCTTTTTACCACTATCCTTCTGAGTGTTACCCACACGTTGAATAGTAAGCTGAAGTATAATTAACAAAACGGTTTTAAAAGAATTAAGATCTCTCTTTAGCTCTTCTTCCCCATCAGGAATAAGTGTTTTGGTACTAGGCCTATTTTGATTTATTATTTTTAGAAATTTCTTAGGGTTGTTTCCCTATGTTTTTACTAGTACCGCTCATATTTTAGTAACTCTGAGCCTTGCTTTTCCAATATGAATAGGTTTTATATTATTCGGTTGACTTACACGCCCCATTGATATATTAGCTCATTTAGTCCCAGAAGGAACTCCCACAATTTTAATAATATTTATAGTTTGCATTGAAACAATTAGAAACCTAATCCGCCCAATCACACTCTCTGTCCGACTAGCAGCAAATATAATTGCCGGACACCTTCTTTTGACGCTTTTAGGAAGCCAAGGAGTGAGAGCTAGTATAGTTATTTTAACTCTTATTCTAGTGACTCAGTTCTTTCTACTTCTTTTAGAAGCTGCAGTAGCAGTTATCCAATCCTATGTTTTTGTAGTTTTAACAACTTTATACTCAGCAGAAGTTTATTAAATGACTGGACACTTTCATCCTTACCACTTAGTAGACCAAAGTCCTTGACCACTAACCGCAGCTATTGGGGCATTTGGGTTAACAGCCGGGTTAGTCAAGGGATTTCATAACAGCAACTTTAATTTGTGTTTTATTGGTTTATTTATTATTATTTTAACTATATTTCAATGATGACGAGATGTGAGACGAGAAGGCACACTTCAGGGACTTCACACAAATGCAGTAGAATTTGGGCTTCGATGAGGAATAATTCTATTTATTTTATCAGAAGTTTTATTTTTTTTTTCTTTCTTCTGGGCTTTTTTTCATAGAAGTTTATCTCCAACAATCGAATTAGGGTCTTGCTGACCCCCAGTCGGTGTTGATGCATTTAACCCATTTCAAGTACCTTTATTAAACACAGCTGTTTTGTTAGCTTCAGGAGTAACTGTTACCTGAGCACACCACAGATTGATCGAAAGTAACTTCAATGAAACATCATATGCGCTTCTGCTCACAGTTATATTAGGAATCTATTTTACTATTCTTCAAGTATTTGAATATTATCAAGCACCATTTTCAATCGCCGACTCTGTTTATGGCTCTACATTTTTTGTAGCTACCGGATTCCACGGGCTTCATGTAATCATCGGAACGACATTCCTCTTAATTTGTCTTTTCCGCCACACACTTAATCACTTTTCATCTAACCATCATTTTGGGTTTGAAGCAGCCGCTTGATACTGACACTTTGTTGATGTTGTATGACTCTTTCTTTTCGTGAGAATCTATTGATGAGGATCTTGTCTTTTTAGTATATAAGTATCATTGACTTCCAATCAATAGGTTTAAATAAAATTTAAAAAAGATAATGACAATTATTCTTATTTATCTCTTGTTTGTTTTATTTGTTGCTATCGCAGTAGCTGGGACAGCTATTCTTGTCTCATTTAAAAGTAACAAAGATTTTGACAAATTGTCACCATTTGAGTGTGGGTTTGACCCCTTAAAATCGGCCCGTACCCCATTTTCTTTACGATTTTTTCTAGTAGCAATAGTATTTTTAATTTTTGATGTAGAAATCACATTAATTTTACCTACCCCACTAGCCCTAAAAACTAGTGAACAAACAATAGTAATAATAATGGGCATTACATTTATAATCATCTTACTTGTAGGGCTTTTTCACGAATGAAGTCAAGGAGCATTAGAATGAGCAGAATGGTTTAGTATTTAAACTATAAAATATGATTTGCACTCATAAATTGGCACCTCTGCCCTAAACCAGGCCTATAAGCATTTTAGATGCAACTGGTTTCGACCCAGAAGAGAAATGGAAACATTATAGGTTGGATAGATAAGAGCTTGAATAAGCAGTTGATTGTTAATCAAAAGAGTGGGAAGCTTAAGTCCCTTATCTAAAAATAATTTGTATAAACTAAAATTTCATTTTAAATGACAATACTTATATATATATATTTGCATCTGTCTGGGTATCTAATCCTGGTAGCAG